ATGCCCTGTTTTTCTCTAACTTCAAACTTTGTCAGCGCACCACATTCTTCCCTAAGGAGAGTCAATAAATTGGGCAACTTTGAAAAAGTATTTGCTTTTCAGCTAGGAGATGGGAAGTACACAGACATGCACATGCCTGCACATATACATATACATGCACATATGCATACACACACATATCCACACCTGAATGTGTCTGTGTATATACAAACATATATCTAGGAGGGTAATGCATGGTTTGTCTACAGCTTGACTAATATAGTTGACAGTAGGATCTGTGCAGAAGTGAAGAGGAACAGAAGGGCAGAAAAGTGAAGAAGCCTCTATCACCCCAGTTTTTGGCTAATTTGAGGGCAGGACAGAGCATGAACCTAGGGTCTGGAGCAGTGTGTAATAAGAGCTTTCTGGTAGCTTCAGTGGATAGAAGTTGCCTTTGAAGGTTAGAGATTTCTATCAAGGTTTAGGCAGGAGAAAGTAGAAATCAAGTCCCTCTGGGAGGTGGGAAGAATGCTAGCAGGAATAATCCCCATGGTTTCCTTGGCAGAGCCACCTAGACCAAAATTTGGGCTTATTTTCTATTTCCAGTAAGAAAGTAAGTTGGAAAGCAGAATTAAGGCAGAGCTCAGCAGGAAGGCCCAATTTTAAGTGGCCCATAGCCCAGCATTTTCTGAACTTTCTTGCTATCAAGGCAGTGCATATTCACTGAGAAAAACACATTTCAAAACAGATAATGAAATGGAAAATAAGTAACATCCAAGTAATTACCAAGATTTACATTCAAGTTTTATTTTTCATTAATTAGAGATGAGTGGGCATTTTCTCTTTGGGGTAGTTTATCGATGTGCCATGTCAGAAAATCAGGGTTGTGTACCATTGAGGGAGAGCTCATTGGTCTACAGGATGCGGATGGACTGAGACCCAGGGGATCAGCGCAACATCAGCTAAAGTGTTTGGACTGGGCTTGTGGGCAGCAGGAAACATGTCACATGCATGGGGAAGGTGGGGATGAGGAGAGCTGAGCTAGTAAAATGTTAATTGTGTGTGGAAGTGTCAAGGATTCTGTGAAGGAAAAGCACAGGTAGCTAACAAGTTAGCTGGTAGTTTGAGTCAGGGAGAGTTAAGAGCACCTGAATTAGAAAGATGAAGGTGGAAATAAAGAGAATAGAAAGATTTGAGAGCTCTCAGGAAGCAGAATGCAGATAATATGGATGCTGATGAGAGCTGTTGGGTGAAGAAGGACAGATATTGTGAGAAATGAAGTTCTGTGTCCCAGTGACCAAAATGAGTGGAAGCTGACAGCTCTCATATGGATTTAGCTGGGAGGCAATCATAGGCCTCAGTGTTGGACATTCAGGGAAATGGAAAAGACATGAGAATAGGCTGTGGCAGGCTAAGGAACTAACTTCATTTTGGAAATGGCTTCAAGGAAAGGTGGCCCATAACCTATATTCCTATTGTTCATACAGGTACCATCTTTTATTTCATTTCTACTTACTCTATATGATCAAAAATAAGATACAATGTCAAAATAATGACATGGTTCATGAGATCTGTATTTTCACGGCTTTTCAGATTCCTTTGCTATCTTTCTTGGGTTCAGCATTCTTAGAGCAGCGTCTAAGTCTCAGGTTGGTAATTCCAGTTTATCAAGGAAAGCTGGCATTGCATCCACACTCCAGTCCATATAATAGTTGAAAGCTATTATGAGAGAGCCAGAGAATGTCAAGAGGAATAGATCAATGTGCTAAAGTACAACATTAAGATACACTCTGCACAGTGTTTCCAAGCAGCTCTTGGAAGTAACAGATGGCTTCTATAAGGGAGTGATATAAGAAAAGTACCTAAGTCATTTTCAACTTTGGCGTGCAGGGATTTTTAAGTCTCTAAATATAAATTCTATTACATTATGAGAGATTATAATCTCTAACATCAAGCTTGATGCTAGAAGGGAATTTGAAAGTAGGTCCTCCATTTCAACTCTTCTACTTTTAAATCCTGACCATACCTTTTAAGACAGGATTTAAAAAAAAAAAAAAAAGGATTTCAAAGGAATCTCATAATTCAACCTGGTCTGTTATACAAAATGCATTGAGAGATTCATCCACCAATCCCATGGGGCAATGTAGAAAAGAGGTAGATCCTGAAATAACAGTGCTCCTTTGTCGGGTGTTTTATGCTCAGACTACACACTATACTACCCTGACAACCCATTCATCTCAGCCTTCTCTGTCTTGCATTATGTTTATAATATCTTCAGTTAGGCAGTTGTGGTAAATCGCCTAAATTTCTAAAGTCTCTGTAGGTAAAGATGAAAAAATTAGTAACTGGTTAAAGTAGATTACAAATATAATCAAGTACGAAATCATTACATCAAGCCCTTATACTTATAGCATTAAAATATAAGTGAACTAGCCATCATTTTTGAAGTTAATTCCATAAACATTTTATGAATTTTAAAAATGATAGAAAAACGGGTACAATGATGGAGATAATTTACCTTGTGTATTTTCCACAGGAGGAATTTTTTTTTTTTTTTTTTTTTTTGAGACAGAGTCCCACTCTGTCACCAGGCGCCAGGCTGGAGTGCAGTGGAGATCTCGGCTCACTGCAACCTCTGCCTCCCAGCTTCAAGCAATTCTCCTGCCTCAGCCTCCTGAGTTGCTGGGACTACAGGCACACGCCACCACGCCCAGCTAATTTTTTGTGTTTTTAGTAGAGACGGGGTTTCACCATGTTGGCCAGGATGGTCTCGATCTCTTGACCTGGTGATCCACCGCCTCAACCTCCCGAAGTGCTGGGATTACAGGCGTGAGCCACTGCGCCCAGCCAAGAGAAATTTTTTGTAAGTTAATTTTTTAATACTGTGTGAAAGGGCATAAAATTTTGAGTTACAAGTCTTCGGTTTGTGTTCTGGGTCTACCATTTAACTCTGATTCACAGAAAGATCATTTTCAAGTAGGACTTTCAGTTAAATCATCTATAAAGAGGAACTGCTAATATAAACCCTTCTGTTGGGTTGCTGCGAGAGCCTCACAGATAGCTAATGAGTGTGAAAGAATGTAGTCAGCTGCAGAGCTCAGTACAAATTTACAGCTGTCATAAAAGCATATAGTCATTGACTTAAATAGTAATATATATACATTTTTCTTTTAAAACTTTATTCATGAGAAATTAAGTATTCCTTGAGTAGTAATTCTAACTCCTTGAACAGTAAAACTGAGTGCACTTTCTTTTCTTGTAATACCCCATTTGATAGCAAGACAATACTGTTTAAGACTTTCCAAGGTTTAATGGATAATGGAGATTAGAGCTCCTTTTAAAAATGATCAAATTTGTCCTTGAATAGAAAGACATTGCAGTCAAATCACTATTTGGTTTGCTTGTCTTATTCCAACTTTCTAAGCTATTTCCTAGAGAATCATTGAATATTTGCCACCTCTTTTGAAATTCACAAATGATATTTAGGAAAGAATTTTTATTTTAGAAAGATAAATGGTAACCAGCATTGAATGAGTATGTCTGGTGTGCAGAATATCTAGATAATGCTATATGACAGGAGGTCTGATGGGGCCAAAAATGAGAATAATAGAGAATTTTCAATGCTGGATAATGCTTTGATCTCCCTACCCACCTTCAATTAATTTACATCAACTGATCAATCTAAGGACCTAGGGACACTAGGGGCAGGACAGGAAGCCTTAGGGCCAACAATTACAATACATAGACATGTGTGTGGTGGCTTGCAGGGCAGGAGTCAAGGAGGGAGAAGATATGGAGGGAGGGATTGAGACATCTTCAAGAGCCAAATTTCCAAAGTTGAAGATGTATCTCCTGAGGACACACTCATCCTACAAGGAAGAACTCAGCAACACTGTGGAAGTGTTTTAAGGGAAACACAGGTTTATCCACTATCCTGGCTTCTGTAAGAACTCAGGGAGTAAGAGATAAAACAGCTATTTCTGGTGCTAAGAGCCACTAGGAAGCAATTGTTCCTCTTTTCCTGGGTGATAGCCAGTCTGCCTGTGTCATGTAGAATTCTGGTTGCTTCTTTTATGCCATGAAGGGCAAGGACGTCTTTGTGCTACTGCAGCTGCTATGGCCTTTCCCAGGCATTTCCTGTTCCACAAAATTGTAATTTTCCTGATTATGAAAGCTGTTTGAAGATTTCTTGATGTACAGTGGAAATCGTGCTGAATGATAAAAATTTCTCTCCTGTAAGAAGAGTGAGATGTTAGAAGACCCAGGGAGAAACGACCAGGATCATTTAACATTGCTTGAATCATTTCCACTGCTTTCTGTATTGAAGGAAAGATTGGGGGTAGAGAAGATAAGAATCATGGCATTGTTTCTCTTTGCCTTTCCTTTGGTCAGCCCCTATTCCTTGATTCTGTCTCATGTTCCCATTTTAAAGATAAGCAGTATTGGTTGCTTGAGGATAGTTTGTCCTATCACAATCCTTAGATAATTGATAATACATATTCAGAGAGAATCCATTCCATGCAAGGTGAAACTCCAAGTTCCTGGGAAGCCAAAAACCTCAAAGGAAAAACAGAAATCTTATCAGGATGAGAATGTTCTTCTGAATGCATTTAATATTCTCAAAGGATTTTCTTGGAAGGATGGCTAGGGAAAGCATGCCACATTGCTGGCATATGGTCAGAGGCATGGAGGAGACTTAAGAATCCTAGGAGAGGACAGGACTGGATTACTCTAACATTATATTCATTCTGCAGGCCAGGAGCTTATGAACATGCATCACATGAAAAATAAAGACTGTCTCAAACAGAAGATAAAACATTGCGAGACATCCTGGGCCATCTTAGAATTTCTATGTCCTGGAAATGATTCCCTCCAATTTCTATCCAGTGCTGTGATTCTCTGCTTGAATCCAGTTTTGGCAGAACTTTTTTTATGCCCAGGGTGTCAGAATTAAACTCAGGGCTGTGATGTTTATCTTACAGGAAGTCACTGGCACATTCCCACTCTTGGTTTGTTTTCAGATTTGTCACTTGGCTGACCTCCAAGCCTGCCCATCAGCCAGAAATCAAGAAGCCTGCAAGTCACAGCTGGATCCATTGGTGGAACAAAGCTCAGCTGCCAATTTCAGAAGAGAAAGCACTTTCTGCTCAGGAGTCACATTTAATTATGCAGAATTTATGTATTTTATTTTTTTGTAACTCTTGCATATTAAACCATAAATGTGAGCTAATGAAAGATAATATGTGTGAAACACCTAGCAGGGTTAGGCAGAGAGGAGACACAAAATGAAATCCATCTTGTTTCTTCCTCTTGTACTTCTCTCTCCCTTACTTCACAAGTAGAGTAATAACTTGTTAGAGATGGTTAATTAATGTAAACTTCCAAAAACAGTATCAACACAAAATGGTGCTCATATGTTTGTGAACGAAGATAGGAGGATACGATTAGAAAATGTAATCTACTTTCACCAAAAGACCCAAGATGAATGTCCAGTTGTACATTTTCATAGTGGGCTAGGTTAAGCTATATAAAATAACAAGAGCCTTCTAATTATTAGAATGTAACATGTTTTATAAAAGTATAACTCCCTGCCCCAATCAATGCTACAGCAAAATCTAACAACTAATCTTATTTCGAATATAATTTTAGAAATATGTTAGGAGCATCTGAAGTACATGCAGAGCAAATGAGGAAACTAAGAAGATGCATTGAACATCTAAATAGCTCTATAGCCAGTCAGTAGGTTTCGGAATTCAACTCTGAAAACTTCACCAATGCTTTAATCTTCTTCCCATTGTATATTTTCCATGATCTTATTCAGAATGTAGAAACTGTGTTCCTATTGTTAGTACTGAGGAAGAAATAGATAAATATACATTATAAACTAAAAATTCACAGAATAAACAGATGATCAACAGAATGGGAGAAAATAGTTGCAAACTATACCTCTGATAAGGAACTTGTATTAGTCCATTTTCATGCTGCTGATAAAGGCATACCCAAGACTGGGCAATTTACAAAAGAAAAAAGTTTATTGGTCTAAAAGGTCCACATGGCTTGGGAGGCCTCACAATCATAGTGGAAGGTGATAAGCACATCTCACATGGCTGCAGACAAGAGAAGAGAGCTTGTGCAGAAAAAGTCCCTTTTTTAAAACAATCAGATCTCATGAGACTTAAACACTATCACGAAAACAGCATGGGAAATACCTGACCCCATGATTCAATGACCTCCCACGGGTTCTACCCATAACGTGGGAACTCAAGATGAGATTTGGATGGGGACACAGCCAAACTACATCAGAACTAATACCCAGAATCTACAGGGAACTCAGATCAGCAAGCAAAAAAGCAAATAATCCCATTGAAGTGGGCAAACTACATGAACAAACACTTCCCTGAAGAAGATATATAAATGGCCAAGAAACATATGAAAAAATGCTCAACATCGCTAATCATCAAGGAAATGCAAATTAAAACTACGATAACATACCACCTTATCTTAGCCAGAATGGTCATTATTAAAAAATCAAAAAACAATAGCTGTTGGCATGAATGTGGTGAAAACAAAACACTTATATACTGCTGGTAGAAATGTAAATCCCTACAGCCTGTATGGAAAACAATATAGAGATTCTCAAAGAATTCAGTGTAGATTTACTGTTTGATCCAGTGATCCCACTACTAGGTATCTATCCAAAGGAAAAGATGTCATTATATTTGAAAAGCACCCACATACACATGTTTATTGTAGCACAATCCATAATTATAAAGATATGGAATCAACCTAAGTGCCCACCAATCTATGTGTGGCTAAAGAAAATGTGTTTTATACATACACAAACACATACACACACACACATACACACACACACACACACACCCCATGGAATACTACTCAGCCATAAAAAAGAATGAAATAATATCTTTTGCAGCAACTTGGATAGAATTGCAAGCTATTATCCTAAGTGAAGTAACTCAGGAATGGAAAACCAAATGCCACATGTTCTCACTTGTAAGTAGGGGCTAAGCTATGACTATGCAAAAACATACAGAGTAATGTAATAGACATTGGAGACACAGAAGAGAAGAGAATGGTAGGAGGTAGCGGATGAAAACTTACCTGTTGGGTACAATATATGCTATTTGGGTGAGGGGTACACTAAAAGGCTGGACCTCACCACTGTACAGTGCATTCATGTAACCAGAAACTACTTGTACCCTCAAAGCTATTGAAATGACAATAAATTAATAAATGCTGTAAGCAAAATACAATATATGTCATAAATACACAGAGCATGTATGTGATGCATTTATGTGATTTTAGCCATATTTGATGATTTGATATATGAGGTTAGGAGGCCTTTAACTAGAATATACCTGGATTTTGGAGACGTGAGTTCCGTACTTCCTGTGTACTATGAAGTTTCTGGATGCAAAACTTCTTAAATTTTGCAGTGCACAGCAAAATGGAACCATCTTTTCTGGGCACATGACAGAAATTAAAAGGAGCAGGGGCTAAGTTCAAAGGGATATAATTAATGTCCTAAAGGGGTTAAAAGCATAAACTTAATCATTCCATCATCAGGTGACCTGCCAACATGAGAACATTGCTGAATCTTGTACAAGTTAGATTCGGAGAAAGTGGTAATTCTTCCATGATTGGAATTACTTGTCAGGCTCACTTTAAGGATACATAAATCTGAGTTTTTCCTGGTGACAACCAGCCCAATCAAAGAAAGCATGTGTTAAATAGAATGAAATTACATTGTAAGTCAATAAGCCCAAATTAGAATAGCACTGTACAACTTCCCTCAGTATTGTGATTCCAAAGTTTTGTTATACAAGTGAAGTTAGGAGACAGATTGGGAGACAGACATCGTAAATGTTAAAGAATGGTTGTGATGGAGGTTACTAAAGAGCTAGCTATGTTGATAAAATGCATCAGATTATTTATACCTAAAATGTATGGAAATACAAATGTTGGAAACAAACATCTCAATGAAGCTTTCTACAATGGTTTTGTGTGACTCCATTTAAACACAGATTACTAAAATTACTGTAAACTAGGAAGTACAGTATCTCTAGATAAAAGCTGAAGAAAGCATTGAAAGGGCATAATTCACATAAATCATGATCTGGGAACATCACTTAAAAGATGTAACAGCATTTTCTTATCACAGGGATCCTTGCCCACTGATGAACACAGAAACTTTCTGATGCAACTGTTCCTTACATTCTTTCTACCCTTTTATCTTGGAATGCAGCCGAGGATACTTGGTCATAATGTGTTGTACAGTGACCACTACACAAATTGTGAAACTGACTTTGCAAAACTTATATCAATGAGAGAATTATGACAGTGAAAGAGATCTGAGCTAATCCACCCCCGTCTTACCTTTCCCTTAATTATTCCTGCATTATTGGGCCTAGCTGATCAATCAAGGGCATGGTCTGCAAACTATCTCAATAATTGATCTTGGGTTTTACAATAGCGATGTTATTCCCAGGAGCAATTTGGAGAGGTTCAGACACTTGAAGCAAGAGATTGCATGACCCCTAAAACTGGAGAGGTTCAAACACTTGAAGCAAGAGATTGTATGACCCCTAAACTGTAATTTATAATCTTGTAGCTAATTTGTTACTCCTACAAAGGCAGGCAAGAAGGGGGTCTATTCAGGAAGGAGCCATTATCAATTTTGTTTCAGAGTTAAATGAGAAACTAAATTTCTTCCCAAGGTTAGTTTGGCCTATACCCAGTAATGAAGAAGGACAGCTTAAAGGTTAGAAGCAAGATTGGGTCAGTTGGGTCTGATCTCTTTCACTGTCATAATTTCCTGTTATAATTTTTGCAAAGGTGGTTTCAAATCCATACTTACTTTTATCAGAAAATTCTGTGAAGTATTGTTCTGCGATTTCAAAATATTATGTTAGCTTTTGGCAGCTTGGGAACACACCCATGCTATAAATTATGGCAAACTGTACTTGCCATGGTTTCATATTTCATTACATCACATGATTATCATGACAGTTTACAGTCTTATTTTCCTTTCTTTTGAGATTTGTTGTTAGGAATTGCATCTTTTGGAATGTCAATTTCAGTGATACTTATTGACTACTTACTAAGCAGGTATTACGTAGCTACTAAAATAAGCAAGCATCTATCTTGGAAAGAGCAAAATAAAACCAAATGAGGAAAATGCAATAGGAAAGGGGTGTAAAAATGCACTAAATATTTTCCTGAACTCTACATTCATTGTACTTATTTTTCTTTGTCACTGTTTGTATAATACAGGATATAATTAATTGGAATTTGGGTTTTTTTTTTTTTTGTATTGTTTTGCCCCTGCCTGTGCCTGAAACTGCCTTTGCAAAATTATGACTGAGACAGTGAAAGAGATCTAACTTAACTGTATCTTGCTTCCAACCTTCAAGCTGTCCTTGTTCATTCCTGGGTGCAGGCTGAACTAGCTTTGGGAGAAACTTAGTTTATAGTTTAAAACAAGGACCATAACAACTCTTTCCCAAAGCAGGCCTCTTTGCCTGGGGGCCAGATTGCCTTTGTAGGACTAACATTAGCCACAAGATTAGAAATTACAGTTTAGGCGTCATGCAGCTGGAAGCTACAAGATTCTGACCCTCCCTAAACTGCTCCTAAGATCAGTGCCTGAGGTGTTTTGCAGACCCTGCACTTGCTGGATCAGCCGGCACCACCCAGATCAGTAAACTGGATCAACAGATCTTGTGGCCCCCCCACCCAGGAACTGACTCAGCACAAGAGGACTGCTTCAACTCCCTATGATGTCATCCCTGACCAGTTAGCACTCCTGGCTCACTGGCTTCACTCCATCCACCAAGTTGTTAAAGTCTCTGCTCCTGGAATGCTCCTAAGACTGATTTGAGTAATAATAAAAGTGTGAATTGCTTTGTGTGAATTGCGTTTTCTCCGTTGCAATTCCCATATTGAGAAGTTGATGCTGTCTGGGTAGCAGGCAAGGTGAACCATTGGGAGATTACAAATTTGGTTGCTCATCTGGGATTGCCCTTGTGGCTGCCTCTGCCCATGGTTTGGTACCAGTCTTTTTTAAGGCTTCCCTTTTAATGAAAATAAGCCCCCAAAGCATTTATTTTCTAACAGAGAGCAGCCTGTAAAATCGAGCTGCAGACATAGATAAGCAAGCTAGACACTTACACAGGTGAATGATGGCAGCTATGCTAATAGGAAAAGGCTACTAAAAGCTAGGCATGTCCAACATATTGGCTCCATCTTCCCTTTTCCTTGCCAACCACATGTGCAGTAGGTTGTTTTTTTTCTG